CAAATAGAGAATGAGAAAAGACTGAAGAGTTTCAGATAACTGCAAAGTAATTGGGTATCACTTTTGTTGACAACTGGGAAAAAGGCTTTTAAAACCAGAATCTACACATTAACTATTAGCAAAGAAAACAAGCAAACATTTTGCAACAAGTTTACACAAGTATATGTTGGGTTATAATTTCTTATATCTTCTCAGAAGTCATTGATTTCCATAAAACAAAACAAAAACAATGCACTTTTGTAATGCATCCCAAGATTTAAAATAGCACACCGACATGTCATCAGCTTTAAAAAAGTTTTAATATCAATATTTTAAATATATCACAAAACATTCAACAACAGTAAAAAAGGATAGACAAGAAAATAAATTTTTTTTAAGAAAAAAGGAAGAACATATTTCTTATTTAATTGTAACAAATTTATAAGAGAATTAACTTGTCCATTCCATTTGTTCTGTTGGATTAAAAACGGAAAGCAGCATGGGTTGAGAAAAAGTTTACACCTTGAGATTTGTGACGGAGATAGAGAGCCCCTCCCCCACCACCACCGGGTTTATTAACCAACAGTTCTAAAGGATTGGGATGAAGGTACTAATTAGTTGGGTAGAAGGGATTCCGGAGTAATTCAAGAAATTATTTTTTTCTTTTTTTTTTTTTTAATTGTTTCTGGGGTTGAGTTATTAGTTAATTAGGTGAATTAATTTCAGAGTGATTAATGGATGAGTTCGTTAAGTAAAGCTTGTGATAAATGGTGAATTGGATTTTTGGGTGGTCTGCAGGACGAAATCCAGCCAAAGTCCTTAGACGAGATAAGTACTTTTCGCAAGGCTTAAGTGGATGATGTCTGCGGAAAAGCCACCTATATAAGCCACCTGCACACTTGAGTTAAACAGAACGCAGTCAGAAGCGGAAAAAGCGCGGAGAGACCGCGGTGGAAAACAGCTTGGTGGATCTTGCTGGTCTGGTCAGTTGGTTGTCCTGCGTCAAGAAGACTGATCCGAACCAAGAGATAGAAATAGAACCCGTACAAATCTGGATAACTTTGTCAACAAAGCTGTGAGAAAGCAGACTGCTATATCGTAGGGTGCAGACGAAGATCCACGAATTATCTCCCTTAGATCAGCTGAATTCCTATCAGCATAATAATCGTCTTTCTCTCTGTGTGACTTTCCGACCCAAATGAGTGAATCTCGTTAAGACACTTTGTATTCGTGCAATTTCTTTGGTAGTGACATAAAAGCAGTAGCCTTAAAAGGCTCTTTGTACAGGAATCGAAAGTGTTGCTTATTTTTTATGTCCTTGCGGTTATCACAAGAACTTTTTCTGCACAAATAGCGATTCCTTTCAGTGTAGAACCCAGCCATTTCATCCTTTACCACCGGACCACCCGAAGGATCGGAACACTGCTGTTCAGATCAAAAAAAACTCACAACGTGGCAAATAGTGGTGGTTCCTTCAGCTCACCGGAGGAGGACCAGGTGGTTTTCTTTTAGTGGCCAGAACCACTGGGGAGACAAGACATAGCTGCTGGCACCAGGGCTTTTATGTTAGAGATTAAGAATATTTTTGCAAACATTTTTTTTAATAAATCTGACAAAATGTGTAAAGTATACTAAAATTGGATGGTAAGTGATAAATAAATATCTTTATGTGCTGTGTCCTCTCAGGCTATAGGCAATCATGGCTCTCCACAACTTACTGTCCCTTGTAGTTCTTAATAAACTTTGTCTTTCTCTTATTTCTCCAAAGCCTGTTCCACCTTCCATCTACTCAAGCTCATTACGTATGCAATACATTGTTTTCTTCTGTCCCATGAGTATCAGATTTTCCAAGCCCTCCTTCCTCATTATATGCCCCAGAAACATCAACTGTCTCTTCCTTATGTTAAGTATTAGTTTCTTTTTTGATTTCATTTCCTCTAAAACTTTGTTGTTACTCTCATATTTGGTCCACAGTATCCTCAGCATCCTTCTGTATGACCACATTTATATTTCTTCAAGTCTTCTCTTCTTTGAGAAGATTGTCCAGTACTCACTGCCATACAGGAAGACAGATATCACATAGCAGTTTAGCACTCTTTTCCTTGTTTCTAGCAAATCTTTCTTATTTCTTAGTAACTCTGCTCAGCTTTTGGAATTCTTCCTCGGCTATCCCAACACAACTTCAGATTTCAATGTCACTGTTTCCATCTTCTGTTAAAACACTTCTCAGATATTTAAATTTCCACACTTGCTTGATTTTGGTACTCCTGATTTGCAATTCGCACTTTGGACTCATCCTTTTACTAATGACCATGAAATGTTTGCTTCTTTAATGTAATGCTTAAAAGTAAAACTTTATTTATTTAAAAACATTTAAATAAAGTAAATAAACTTAAATTAAGATACATTTAAACATATTTAATTTAATCATATTTTTTTTCAAACAAAATCTATACTTCAAAAAATAATTATTTACAATTCATTTTGGAGGGGAATTTAGATTTCTTTTTAAGTAAATAAAATTTTACTTTTAAGCATTACATTAAAGAAGAAAACAAAAACATTTCTCTGTAAATGAATTTAATTACTATTTTGAAAGAGAGTAGAAGCAAGGTACATTGAGAATTTAGCTTTGAAAAGCAATTGTGTTTACATTTCAAGTTATATTTGTATTTTGAAAAGAAAAAATAAATTTAGTTAAATAAAAATTAGGAGAGACAGTCAGGAGTTATGGTCAACATCAGTCATGAATATTTGTTTTATGAATTTAACTATATTTTATTTAAATTAAGGTGTCTTTTTGAAAATAATATGGGGATGCTCATCCCCCTAAGCACCCCCACCCATGGTATTGGTAATGTGGTATTTTCCTAAATTTAGTTATTTTGTAACACACCAAAAAACAAAAAAAAACAATGAAGTTTATCTTTTAAAGATTGAATAAACAATTATTTTCCATAAGATGGCTGAGAAATATAAATAAATTGTCAGTAATAAACTATAATTCAGAGATCTTCTGAGCAATGCTGGGTATATCCACTAGTACTAAATACTTCTTCAAATTCAAAAATCAACATATACAGTCCACCATCAATTTTGATTCTCTTTAAAAGTAGAGGGTATAGCAAATCAAAAGAATAGTCATGAGATTGTAGAGCATAATTAACAGTTTAACATCTAATAATTATGAATAAAGTACAGCTTAGTAGTAAATATTAAGTAATATAAGAATGAAGAACAGAGTTAAAATTAAAAGAACAATGGGAGAAAATTCTTGCAACTTGGTTTCAGATAAGAGAAAAATTGTTTAAAATCACCAATTAAGAAAGTTACATCATTTAAAAGTCTTTCAATCCAGAATATTTTGAATGCCAAAACCTGTACTTCTTAAATCAAATTGATATTATATATATATATATATATATATATATATATATATATTTATAATTCCGTAAGATACAGAGAATTATATCCATGATCAAGGTCAAGTTAGATGCCCTTTCCTGTGAAATTACCATTCTACTACCACCCTGGACAATGGCAGTCTATAGGGGAGAGCTGCTTCTCTTCATAATCATGTCAAAAAGAAAAGAACCAGAATATTTGGATAAAACTGTGAATGCAACAAAATGCTCATGTAAAATAACTAATTCTTTGACACTGATCTGAAGAACATAAAAATGAACAAAATTTATCAGGTTGAATGGACTGGAGAGGAAAAAAGTGTGGAATCATAAATTATGCCTAAATATCTGATTTAAAAATATTTATTTGTCCTAAACCTGGTTCCTTCACTATTAGTTTGTCATTTAATTTTTGTTTTGTTTTTTATTAAAGAATATATAGTTATTTGTTATACTGGACCACGTATGGAAAATAAAAGGACTTTTTTTTTTATTTTTTTTTTTTACTTTATGTTTTATAAATGACAACTACAAAGATGTTATACATCAACCATTTTTTTAAAATGTCATATTTCACTTCAAGATGTAGATGATCATGATTCCTTTTCTTTATTATCTGTGAATTGTCATGCTTCTCTTGGATTGGTCGTCATCCAAAGCAACCCTGCCATTTAGCTGATAATTGGGGTGAGGGATAGATTCATGCCTTTTCCCAGGACATTAGTGCAAAAGTGAATGCTAAAGACCAATTTGAACTTGGCATAACTAATTACATCTTCTGTGTTGATAACCATCATGCTACCCACATTTAGCTTTAAGTTAGACTGGAAAATATAGTGGGCATGACCAAGTAATAAAATATTGCTTGTACAAATGATGCCGTAGACTTAAGTTGGCTAATCTAACATTTTTTTTTGAGATTTGTCAATAAGTTATCCAATCTAAAATTTATTTAGTGATCATCTTATATAGTTGCTGTTCTACTTCCAAGCAAGCAAAATAGTACTACTACCCCAAATACACTTATTAGATCTCTAACTTTCTATCAACCTAAGATATAATATTTAACTATTAGCCTGTTAATATGATGTTCTAAATAAAAAAATTACTTTTTGTCTGAACATCTGGAATGAGGAAGTATCATTACATGTGTAAATAATGTACATAACTTCAAAATTAAGAAAATATTTAAAAATTAATTGGGCTGTAAACATATCTTTGTAATGATTGTCTCTTCACAAAATCTAAACCGAATGTAAAGAAAAATAAAGACTGCTAAAATTCTATGCAAGTGTTTGTTTTGGCTTGAATAATATCATGTGACCAGCATTCAGATATATGTGGATTAAATAAGCAAGCAGTAAACAAATTGAGTACATGCAAAATGCAAAGAGAAAATATTAAAAGCAACAACTTGAAAATAATCAAAGTGTATAAAAACATCTAAATGTGCACAGTTAGGTACAAAATATTTGAAAATGCAATGAACATAAAAACAACATAAAACAATGCTGTGGTGGCTTCTAATTCAATAGATTAATTGTATACAAGGCAACAGGTAGAGACTCTATGGATATGGTCAAAGATAAATATTAAAAGTAAAAAAATCTGACTCACCTTGTCTCTTGTTGGCTTTATAACTGATTCATTAACAGTCAAACCAAGTTCTTTGGTTCGTTTGGCAGCAGTGCTAGCAGCTTTGGTTGCCTAGAATATTTAGAGAAAACATTTTAAATTACAAATATATTCCTTATCATATTTTTAAGAAGTAATTATCAGAATTAAAAGTTTTATTGGCAACCTTACTTTAAATAAACTCTTGCTTGTTCATATTTTGCAAGCATTGGCATTAATAATAATATAAAATAATTCATATAAAAACAACAAAAAAAAAAAACAATTGTGTACTGAATACTGGAATAGAATTTATACATAATTTAAAAAAAAAAAAAAAAATTCAGTTTTATTTTTTTTTTCTGCTTTTATAGAATCTGGAAAGAATTTAACCAAATGATGGAAGTGATGTATATTTTGTTCTAATTTTTAACAATTCACATCACATTATCAATGTTTTTTAAACACTACAAAAAGATTGTTTTAAAAATTGTATTTTATTGAACATTTAGACCATAAAAATAATTTAATTATATAGAATTTTATATAATATATATATTAGTGTTATAGATGTGATCCTGTTTTTTTCCAGTTTAAGTTAGTATACACTAATTATGTTTGGATACTTGGTATGGTTTGTGCCAATTATAAAAAATCATGTTCACTTGTGAAAATGGCAGATTTGGAGGCTGAATATACCTTTGAGATTATAATTATATTGAAATTTGGGTATTACATTTCAATGGAGTGTATGTGTGTGTATATATATATATATATATATATATATATATATATATATAATAATCTTATAAATAAGTAAGTATACTCGTCCGGAAAAACCTTAGGTGTTTTGGCTTGTAAATGAACAAACCAATACCCAAGGAAGAATAAGGAATAAAAAAAAAAAAAGCAAGAACTAAGAACATGTAATTCAGGCAAAAAAAAACCTCCAACATGAGTAAAGTAAAAATAACTAAGCAAAGTGCTCAATACACTAAGTAGAGCAAAACTATGAACCTAAAGAGCCAGGCAAACTACCTAGGTTTCACCTATGTGGGTCGTCAGGGTACACCGGCCAGAAAAAAAAGTAACACAACAACAGGGAGGGGTAAATACATATTCATTCAATAACAACAACAACAAAAAATATGTATTTAACCCTCCCGTTGTTGTGTTACTGTTTTTTTTGTTTTTTTTTTTCTGGTCACATGGTCATGTTTTTATGTTGTAGGCTATTTATATTCTGTTCTAACGTTACCTCTTTGGCCGACATACCCTGACAATACAAGTAAGTGAAACCTAGGTAGGTTTGCCTGGCTCTTTAGGTTCGTAGTTAGTTTATATATATAATTTTATTTGTAATAAAAAGGCTATGAAGACTATTTTGTGTAATAGCAATATATGAGCCGCTATCAAATTTTAGGAACATTACCCATATTTAGGTCTTTAGGCTCCGTTATAGTAAAAGCTTTGTTATGTAGAATTCTAATAGACTAATTCACAAGCATCAGTGAAAGAATAAAAAACTAATAGTCAAAAATTAAGAGTTCTATTCAAGGTGAAAGGATTTAAATGATTACAACATCTCACAAAAAAGAAACGAGACACAGAAACTCCGAGACAGAAATTAGTCCTGTACTTATAATCTGATACTGAAACATTATAAATTAATACTAGTTCAAAAATTCGGCTGGAGATATAACTTTTCAACTTCTTAAAAGTTATGTCATCAGATGAATTTTTGAACTGGTATCTATGCTGATGACACCACGATTTACTCCTGTCTCGATAGTAAGTGATCAATTCGATAAGTTTAGATTGATGGCTGATATCAAAAATGACCTAGTCTATTGTTAATTAGTGTAAAAAATGGCTTGTTAATTTTAACGCCTCCAAAACAAAACTGTTCTCTATTCATCATCTGAGAGACCCCTCTCTGCCTTTAATCAGCATGGCTGATGCTCACCAGGAGAGTGATTTGTTGCACCTTCTCAGGCTAACATTCTCAGCTGACATGAAGTAGAAAGACTATATCAAATCCATTGCTAGGTCTGCTGCTAAGAAAGTTGGTTCATTGTGTCATGCTAGACAATTTTTCTCTCCAGAATCTATCTTGCATATCTATAAGTCTACCATTCATCCATGCCTTAAATATTGCTGCCGCATATGATCCAGTACTCTTGTTATTTAGAGATTTGGCTTCAGTCATTTTCCCACTGCAGCAAAGTTGCCTCTCTGTACCATTTCTATAAATACTTTTATGGTAATTGTTTGGATGAGCTCTTCACTATGGCACCTAAACTTTATGTATTTAAGCACAGTACTAGATTAGCAACTAGATCTCATCAATTTACCATTGAATTCGCTAAATGTAATTGTAATTTCTATGCTAACATTTTCTTTTCTCACACTCCTTACTTGTGGAACTCTCTTCTGACTCCCTGCTTTCCAGTTAACTCTGATCTTCAAAAATTTAAATGCAATATCAATTGTTAACTACTGTCTCCCTGATTACTCTTCTATTGTTCTCACTCCTTAGTAAAGGTTCTGTTTTCTAATTCTTTCATACCTAGTACCGCTTGTGTCTTAGTGACTTTACTGCCTTGCTTGGGGTAAATTCGGTAAAAAAAAAAAAAAGTCACTTTGTGAGAAATGATAACCCAACAAGAATAGGACACAGGCTAGCTAAATGCCTTCATTAGAAGAAAGGATATTTGAGATATTTTAAACAAATTATCTTTATTTGAAAACCTAAAATATCTCTATTACCATTACCAATGTAAACACATAATATTGGAAAAACCTGAATTACACAAAGATACACAACATTATTAGAAAATAAGAATGGTAAGTAAGTTTATTGGTAATTTTCTAATCTTTTCTGAACAAGCATCTTCATATCTAATTCAATAAAATATGAGATGGCTTACAATATTTTTTTAGATTTTTAAGATTACTGGGTAGTTAAAGATATATATGATAACGGAGTTCATGTTGTATTCATCAATTAAATTCTACCTGACTTAAATTTCCAAATGTTAGGCTGTTGATAAATCACTCAACATGTCAGAAAAATAAATCCTCCATGTTAAAAAAATGGTTTTCTGATATATTTTAAACTAAAAGTAAGTAATATTTCATTCAATTCAAATTAATTAAACTTTAAAATCAGTCACTTTTCCTCAAATAACATTTCAGAAAAGTATATTTTATTTTTAAAACCTTTTTTTTTTAAAAAGAATTATTTTGTGTTAACAGATCTATCAATATAAACGAATTTAGAGATTTTATAGATAAAGAGAAAAAAAATGCCAAGCAATCTAAATCCAGTTTGAAATACACCAAAGTGTTTTGTTTATTGGTAGTATTAAACTTAAAGTATTAGTTTGGAATTAAAATTAAAGTATTATGAAAGATTTTTCATTTTTTTAAATGCATTTTAAATATAGGTATTGCTTTTTTTTTTATTTGGCAAGGGGGTACCTACAATTATATAATATCCCACCTAAATCCTGTAACAGCTAGAGGAAAGGATATCTGCTTGTGTTTTCTAAAAGAACATGGCATCTTTATTTATATAATTTTTACATTTATCCTTTGTAAAGAAAAACATCTAAGACAAAGCTTCTCAACAGAGACTAGTTTCTTCTAAATTGAATATCTTCCCAATACTAACAATACCAACAAGCTACCAATGATTTCTCTCTATGCTTGTTTCTTTTTTCCCTAAACAATATACCTTTTACAAAAACACAGAAAACACAATAGGCAATATCTATTTACAGTGAAATTAGGAAGCAAGTGATGCCTTCAGTTGCTGATGACAAGTGCACATTACAAAGGGTGTAGCCAACATGAGGGAAATCACTTGTACTATTAGTAAAATGAAGATTACTTTTACAGAAAGTCACTTTTGTACTCAAACAAATTTTTATTGATACATATAAATGCAATGTTTCTTGTGGTGAACAACAACAAATAATACAAAAAGCTTCATCTAGGAATTGAGGTTGTGTGGAATAACAGAAAAGTGAGGAAAAATATCTTTAAGAATATCTGCAGATAATAATTCTTTAAGAATATGTGCAGAGATTTGAGATAGAATAGTTTTTATTCATTTGACATAGAGAGAACTTTAGAAAAAGAATAGAGAAAAAGGTGAAAGGAAAAAAAAAAAAAAAGAAAAGGTATAGGATAAAAAAAACCTCAGATGTAAGAAAGCATGAAAGACATACGTAAAAGAAAAAACTGTATAATGGCAAATATAAAATTTCTATATAAAAAATCATGTTTCAGAGAGTAAATGATGAACAGGCAACACTGTTGATAGATTCTTCATCTACTGAGTAAAATAAGTTTACATGAAGGATTAGATAAAGTGTACATTAAGGAGAAGGTAAATGAAGACGAGCTTCTTACATGTATTAGCAGAGAGGGAAAGAGCACATGACAGAAAAGTTATCAGAGTACGTGACAGAAAAGTTAGCAGAGAGAGAGTGCAAGACAGGAAAGTTAGCAAAGGGAGAGTGCGCATGGCAGCAGGGAGAGAGCGCAACAGAGAAAAGTTAGCAGGGAGAGTGCATGAAAGAAAAGATAGCAGAGAGAGAGTGGGCATGACAGAAAAAATAGCAGAGAGAGAGTGGGCATGACAGAAAAATAGCAGAGAGAGAGTGGGCATGACAGAAAAAAATAGCAGAGAGAGAGTGGGCATGACAGAAAAGATAGCAGAGAGAGAGTGGGCATGACAGAAAAAATAGCAGAGAGAGAGTGGGCATGACAGAAAAAATAGCAGAGAGAAAGTGGGCATGACAGAAAAAATAGCAGAGAGAGAGAATGCATGATAGAAAATCTAGCAGTGAGAGAGTGCATGATAGAAAATCTAGCAGAGAGAACATGCACGACAGAAAAATTATCAGTGAGAGAGCACAAGACGGAAAAGTTAGCAGAGTGCATGACAGAAAAATTAGAATAATTAGAGCACAGGACGGAAAAGCTAGCAGAGAGAGAGCAAGCACAGGACAGAAAAGCTAGCAAAGAGAGAGAGAGCACATGACAGAAAAGTTAGTAGAGAGCTCTCTCTACACTAACTTTGCATGACAGAAAAGTTACCATAGAGTGCAAGACTGAAAAGTTAGCAGAGAGAGAGAGTGGGCATGACAGAAAAAGTAGCAGAGAGAGAGAGTGCGCATGACAGAAAAAGTAGCAGAGAGAGAGAGTGCGCATGACAGAAAAAGTAGCAGAGAGAGAGAGTGCGCATGACAGAAAAAGTAGCACAGAGAGAGAGTGCGCATGACAGAAAAAGTAGCACAGAGAGAGAGTGCGCATGACAGAAAAAGTAGCACAGAGAGAGACCGATGACAGAAAAAGTAGCACAGAGAGAGAGTGCATGACAGAAAAAGTAGCAGAGAGATTTCCACGATGACAGAAAAAGTAGCAGAGAGAGAGATATATAGATGACAAAAAAAGTAGCAGAGAGAGAGCATGCATGACAGAAAAATTTAGCACGGAGGAGAGAGAAACAAAAACATGTCTGAAAATTTAGTAACGGAGAGAGAGAGAGAAATGTCTGAAAATTTAGCACGGAGAGAGCTCATGATTGAAATGTCTGAAGAGAGAGAGAGAGCTTATGGCAGAAAACTTAGAGAGAGCGCGCATGACAGAAAAGTTAGCAAAGAGAGCCATGACATTTCCATTATTTAGAGAGAGCAGATGACAGAAAAGTTAGCAGAGAGAGCGCATGACAGAAAAGTTAGCAGAGAGAGCGCATGACAGAAAAGTTAGCAGAGAGAGCGCATGACAGAAAAGTTAGCAGAGAGAGCGCATGATGAAGTCCATTTAAAGAGAGCGCATGACAGAAAAGTTCTTTCTTGCATGACAGATTCATAGTAGAGAGATGTGCTGGACAAAAAAAGTTAGTAGAGAGAGAGTGCAGGACAGAAAAAGTTAGCAGAGAGAGAGTGCAGGACAGAAAAGTTAGCAGAGAGAGAGAGCATGACAGAAAAGTTAGCAGAGAGAGTGCAGGACAGAAAAGTTAGCAGAGAGAGAGTGCAGGACAGAAAAGTTAGCAGAGAGAGAGTGCAGGACAGAAAAGTTAGCAGAGAGAGAGTGCAGGACAGAAAAGTTAGCACAGAGAGTGCATGACAGAAAAGTTAGCACAGAGTGAGAGAGTGCATGACAGAGAGAGTGCAGGACAGAAAAGCTAGCAGAACGAGTGTGTCCCGTGTGTGTGTGTTTGACAAAAAAATAGCAGAGAGAGTGAGAAGGTAACAGAAAGTATTGTTAGGGATAGAGAGGGATATTAAGTACAGGAGATATCAACACAAGATTGATAGTGAGAACAAGAGGGACAGAAAAAGTGCAAAGGGGAATATAGAAAATAACTGAGAAAAAAGGGACAACAAATAAAATTACAGATTGAGAAAATAATAGGCGTTAATCTAAGTAAAACAGAGTGTGGGTAAGAAAAAAATTTACTTGGACAATAGAAAAAATAGTTAAGAAAGAGAGAAAGTAGGAAGGAAAAAAGAGGGAAAAATTGCAAAGAGAATGTAAACAGAAAAAAATGTTCACAAAAACAAAAATCACACACACCACACAAACGAGATGCGGAAATGTTCTTGGCCCAATATACTCTTTTGTTTTTAAATAACTTGCTTATACTGAAAACATTTCAGTACAACATTCATGTGTGTGAGATATACAAAACATTTCTTTTTAAATCTTAATACATTCAAAGATTTACATTGATTTAATCTTTAAGTACAAATGTAAGCGTACAATACAGGCTTATAACAAACAATTATTCAAAATTCTTGGAAAGAGAAGAAAAAATGGATGGGTCTGCACAACATGTTATAATTCTAAAAAATTATTTTTACATTCTTAAGACTGCCCTATATGATTTAATTTATTTATAAGCAATTAAAAAATATATGTTAGACAAAATTTTGTGTATAATTCTATCATGTCAAAATTTATATATATATTTTTTTTTTTAAGTACACCCAATACAAAGCTCAAGAGCCACTCATGGTGGAGAGTTAGTGAATGAGGTGGGTGATAGGAATCTAAAAATAAATAGAAGGAAGTGAAGATTACAAGGATAAGGAGGATAGATAGTGATTGACCCTTGACTTAAAGAAATTATGATCGTAGTGTTTGGGAAAACATCCATACAGGAGTTTGTGTCACAAAGTAGCAGTTCTCAAGAAAAATCTGAGTGGAACTTCCTCCTTACAAATGGAATATGGAGGAAATGTGGTTGATTCAACTCTGTGGACTTCCAAGCTGTAAATATATATTTATATAAAACAAAAAGAAATAGTAAAAGACAAATTACATAATGATGATGATGGTTTAGCACTTTAGTGCTAGAAATATACCAGACAGTAAATTGCCAATAAAGTTGCCCTCATTGCATTGTGATATAGAATTTTACTGTTCACCTTATAAAAGCCTTATGCTCTAGACAAGGTCAATTCTTCAACTGCAGAGATCTTTCAGTTTTCTTTATCAGCCAGCTGAATTATTTTTGTATCCAGAATCAAATACTGATGTTCGCTGCTTTAATAATCAATACAGTGAATACAGTATTTGGGAATAGAATATGTTGCACCAACAACTTGAAGAAGCCTCAATTATTGGAAATATAATAATCCGTTGCATTCCACTGTTCTCACAGTATTAACTCTCAAACTAATGTAAACAATATAAAGTAATCAGGTGAAGTCATCTAAAAAATAAATAAAAGCCTCACAAAGAGCTTGATTCCAGTAAAAAAAAGAACTGTATGAATTTGGTTGATAAGAGTAAAATAAATCTAAAGAAATGCTAGGTAAGTAGAAAGAAATTCTTTTCCAAATAAACCTTCTGACTACATTTTAAAAATAAATGTCTGGAAAAATAATGAAGGAAAGTTGACACTCTTTTCTATTATTATAAAAATATTTTTTAAATATGCATCCTAAAAAAAGATTAAAGCAGCTAAAGTATTAAAATAACTGTTGACAACATGAAATAAGATTATTTTCTTTTAAGATTTTATGAAACCCTTAACATGTCATCCAAATTGCTATCAAATTTATAATTCATTAATTAATAATCTGTACATGTTTTTGTTTTTTTAATTGTTTTCTCTTCCTTCTTAGTTTATATAACAGGAAATAATTTTTTTATATATCACTTATGCAGACATAGGATTCAAGAAACAATCATTTGTACATCATTGCTATGTGATAATAAGAACAGCAGAAGAGATAAAATCAGTTTATATAAAAATCATTTAATTATCAAAACTTCAGCTATAATTCAATTAGGAAAAAATTCTTGATTTCTGATGTAGTGTATATGAAAACATTTATGTGAAAATATGACTAAATCATTGACTAGCACAGAGTGGAACTTGAGATACTTTTTTTTTAAATACCCCAGTTGTATTCAAAGCAATACAAAAAAAAAACAAGAAATATGTCAATTCAGCTTTGTTGCCACAAACATCTTTCTTTTAAAGTTATATATGAGGCGGCACTAAAATTTATTTCTTAGCCCAACCCACTTTCCATAATATGACCAAATAACGAAACATCAAAATATTCTTTTGATTCCCTTCTTGGTTAGACTAATAATAGCATCTCATATATAAATATGAGCATTTAACTATAAACTGCATATGATTGATCTTAAAAAGGATGCAAGATAATAACCTGACTGAAAATTAGCATGCCAACTCCTGTGTAAATTGGTTACATAATTATCAGATGAGCCATGCCCTAAAGTATAAAGGGCATTTTGGGTGCAAAACTTTCAAAAGAGCTAGTGCTGGGCTTAAAAAAAAAAAAAAAACATCTTTTAGTTCTAGAAACAAACAGTAAGAAAGATTAAAAACTCCACCTCTTAATGAATTCTATATTCGTCAAAATATTTCTGCAAAGCATATAGTTCATGTATTTGATAAATAAAAAAATTAAATCATTCAAGCAACAAATGTGTAGCAATGACCTACTTGTGTCAATTTGACTTTCTAACACAAGACCAGTTTTTTTGTTTTTTTTGTTTTTGTTTTTTTATTCGGAGTCAAATTCAATGTTTTTAATAAAGAAGACAAATTAAAATATGTTATGAATAAAAAATTTTTGAGTTAGTGGCTAACAAAAGAAACAAAATATTTTAAAGTTATATCAAATATGCTAGTATTTCTAATTAGTTCAGTACTTTAAGTCAGTTTGCTACTGAATAAAAGAATAAAATATTTCAATAAATAAAATAAACATAGGCTAAATGAAAAATAAATACTATTTCTCTTAAAATGAAATAAACATAAAATTATTTAAATAAAAGTCAATATTAAATAAAATTTAGTTTACTTACAGTTGATATTTATTATAAAATATATCCAAAACATGATATGGTGTCCACCCTGATTGAAGAACTGGAGAGTTTTTTTTTTAAATAAAATTGAAAGAAAAATAAAAAAAAAAATACAGGAGGTTTCAAAAAAAAAGAAAAGAAAAAAAAAGAAAACAATAAAAGAGAGTGTGTGTGTGTGTGTGTGTGTGTGTGTGTTTCAAAAAAAACGTAAGGGATGAATTGTGAAAAAATATGAAAGCAAAAAATTAAATTAGAAAAGATGAAGAAATAAGACAGGAATATAAAAAAAATAACAGGTTAAAAAAAAAAAAAAAAAAAAAAGATATAAGAAGATTATATAAAAAAAAGAAATGTTATATATTAAAGAAGCAGACAGAAAATGATTGTTGAATATTAAAATGCCCCAAATGACTACATCTAGAGAAAAGATTTTAACCAAACTTGAACTATTTCTTGCAACTACTAACACCATAAATGACACTCATCTTGGAGTTGGGAACAGTTCCCACAGGGTGAGGAGCACACCTCTGTCAATGCTAGTTGCTGAAAAGAATCTGTAAGGACTGCAGTGCTGACAGCAACCAACAATAGGATAGCGTATATGTTAGTGATGGCTCTGGCTCTGGCTCTGATGTGAGGGCTTGTAGCAAACAGGATGACTGTTTAATGATATAGACAATACCTATAGTATCTGGATCTATTTATTTACTTTTGTTGTTGTTGTTTTCCACTAATAGAAGAGAAGAATCTTTGTTTGGGACAAATAGGATATTTTAGTTGCAGTAGAGGAGTGAGTAGCATTAGTTTTCTCTGTAGACAGGAAAGTGGCAGTTGTAACCTTTCAAACACATTAAAAAAGATCTGATGTAATGTTGATACTGATAGAAGCTAGGGAAGAAAGAAACAAAAATCAATTTTTGTGCTTCTCTTTCTCATAATAAACAAAATATAAAACAACAAAGAAAAAAGAAAAAGCAAAATTAAAATTATTTAAATCGTTTATATACTGTTTATATTTGACTAAAAATTTTGATTTTTTTAAAAGTACAAAAACTTGGGAATTTCATCAATTAATGGAAACAATATGTTAAGCTTCCTGCATAATTTTATTCATATTGAAAATTAACATATGTAAAATAAAACATAAGATTTAACAGCATGGAACTTTTCTAATATAATTTATGAAATAAATTTTCATATTTATACCAAGATTTAATGCTCATCCACTATTATGATAGTAAAAAAATTCTCTGAATCTTTAAAAAAAAATCTGATATGACAATCTATCTTTTAACAGTACGAAAATATTTCAACTG